AATTACGTAACAGTACGTAGGTGTAGCATTTTTGTTGTTTTCTTGTTCGTTTTATTTACTTGTTCAAACCGACGCAAATTTGCAAACGAGTCTGAATCCGTGGTGGAAATTACGAACGGAAAAAAAGCATCTCGTAGGAGCCTTTTTCCCCGAAATAATTGGGCATTTACATGATTACGCACAAACCAAGGGAGTTTTTTGCAAAAAACTTGCCACGTCAGCACCCGACAGGCGGGCCCAATCAGTCAGATTCCCTGTCAATACGTATAAACTGCAGTTTTAGTCTTTTTTCCAACGCCTCGTCCTAAAGTTGGTACTGACACGTAAAAATTACCAATCTTGGTACCAATCTGCTTCTAATGCCCCAATTGTGATACTTCTGTGCAATTTACTCATTTTGCTGGAAACCTTTGGTCGATCGAGAACTGCGCAAGCAACGCAACATGTTACTGTACGTGCGTGCGTACAAACGATCGACCATTGACTTGACTCAGGAATGTGAGAGACCAGCACGAGAACAAGGCTTAAGCAAACATCAACCGGCCAAGCACGCTCCGACTATTAAACGGAGAATGAGCTCACCATCCGCGTGCGAGCTGTCTGCCGTCATCATCTTCCGGCTCACCACTAGCTGACTGGGCTGGACCAGCGTGCCTGGACTTGATGAACTGGACCTGCCTAATGGCCCATGGTTGGCTGGACAGGGCCGAGTCTGACCAGTTCAATGCAAATGGGACCTTTAAATCGTTAAATAATTAAAAAAACCAGAGTTCGCTCGAACGAAAAAACATTCACTTGTAACTACACTATCTTCACTTGTCCGATGCATGACTAGAGGCTTCTTCGGACTGATCACTCGGAGCTTCCCATCAGCCCCATACGGTTACTTGCTTTCAAGGCCTGCAAAAGCATCACGGTTTTAGCACATTTGACCACCCAATGCAAATGAAGTGGTGAAAAAACACCGTGATGTTCCAGTAATTTTGGCTTCCACTAAAAAGGAACATTTGGCAGATATGAAGGGCGGACAGCCAAACCTCCTGATCCCAGTCGCATCGTATGGTCATGTAAGCGAGGATCAGCGTCTGAACCGTCGTGCCACCGATCATTCCCGCCCAAATTCCCTGCGCAAGTGAAGAATTACAAACCGCACGGGCGCAAATTAACAGTGCGATGTTGTTTCCAGGATACGAGACAACTATTTCTCGCAAGAGAAGGGAACAAACGATGAACGTACATGTACTCCGAGACGGAAGGTCCATCCGAGCAGAGCGCCGAGCGGGACACCGATGAGGTAGTAGCTCCCAATGTTCACGTACGCAACCAGCGCCTGCCAACCTGACCCAACTGCAACTCCTGCAGATCACAGGTGCAGCAGCAAGCTTATATGCCATTTTGTATTTTCTGCATAAGTCTCGAGCTAACTGTTGTATGATATAGGGGATAAGCTAGTATGAAGTACCTGAGAGGACAGGTTGGACTCCGTTGAGGAGGATGGTGAGGGCCAGCAGGACGGACATGTCGTCCACGGCGTCGATCACGGCCTTGCTTGACGAGAAGATGAGGGCGAGCCTGCCGTGGAGGCCCAACGCCACCAAGCAGAAGAAGATGCTGATCAGAAAGGAGGTCGCCGTCGACACCATCGTGGCGAATCTCGCCCGGTGCCCGTTGCCCGCGCCGAGCTCGTTGGCGACCCGCACCCTTGCAAAAACAAAACCAGGGGAGGGTGTGGGGATTCAATGCAAAGAGGCAAAGAGTGGTGGAGTAGTACTGCAGGGGTGTCAATGTCTGTTGTGCTTTGCTTACCCGGTGCCTGCTAGGAACCCCAAGGGAATCATCATCTCCAATCCATTCAAACTCAAACTGTTCGTGCCAAAAGTAACTAAGTAAGTAGTGAGGTTTCACTTGGCAGAATTAGAAGTCATCTCTATAATTGTGTTTAGCCAATACAAAATGGAGGTAAGATATTTGTACCAGATAGACAAGGCATCCACGGCAAGCTCCGCGTTCTTCATGTACCCAGTGACGAAGATCAAAACCCTGTAGTACCAACTCTCCAAGCTGCATCCATATATAAGCAAGACAAAAATATACTATAAAGTTGGTGTGTCTCCCTGATATTATAGTTACCTACCAGAAGTTGAAAGCACCGTGATGATGAATAATAAAACAAATAAATACCACAACATGACTCCGGACGCCGAGGACAGCTTGACGAACCCCCAGATGTCCACGAACGCCAAGGACGAGAACCCACCCCACGTCTCCGGGCAGCCGCCGCCGACGGCGTACGCGAGCTGCAGCGCCACGACGAGCGCCCATGAGAAGTTGAGCGCGATGGCGGCGCCGATGACCCCGAGCCCGAAGTAGCTGACCAGGAGCCAGGTCACCGCGGCGTGCACCGGGAACGCCACAGCGGTGGTCACCGCGGTGACCGCGTTCTTCCTCTGGCACTGGAGGAACTTGTTGAGCGGCAGGAGGATGGCGTACATGAAGTGGAGCGGGAGCAGGCAGGCGCTGACCGCGCCGGCGTCGCGGGCCAGATCGGCGGGCTGGCCGAGCGCGCTGAGCAGCTGCCCGCTGAAGATGTAGGTCGGGGAAAGGAGCGCCGCGAAAGCCAAGAGGACAAGCCACGAGCGCTGCATGTACACGCCCAGCATTGCGTACTGCTTCGCGCCGTACGCCTGGCCGCACAGCGTCTCCAGTGCGCTCGCCATGCCAAGCTGCAATTCATCAAGATTATGTTTATCTAGGAGTGCCATTGGTCGCTCATAATGAGGTCAATGGATGCTTTTCGTCGTAGGAGACAATGATGTCCAACAGGCAACAGGAGTGCATACGCAAACGTACTTTTGGCACATAAAAAACAGAAATCGATAGGCGGCTGAGGCTTGCAAGAGAAACATTATGTACCAAGAAGCCTAGGTTGAAGCCGGAGATGACGGTGCTGGCGATGGAGAAGGCGGCGAGCTCAGCGTCGCCGAGATGGCCGGCGAAGGACTGGCTGATGATGTTCAAGCTGTAGAGGACGAGCCTCATGAACACGGCCGGGCCGACCACCTCCCACAGCTTCATGGACTCTTCCCATACCTCGCTGGCCAGTCTTTGGACTTGGCCTTCCCTCTCCTTCGGCCTCTCCAAGAGAAGTGGCGCGCTCTGCCTCTCCATTGTATGGCTACTTGGCTAGATGTGCAGATTGGAAGGAAACATATATGCTCTTCGTCTCGAAAAACAAGCAGTATTGTATTAGTATTTTGCTAAGCTAGATCTAGCTTGGAATCTGTTAGTTTGCGACGGTGATGGAGCACGCTGGAGAATAATTAAACGGCCATGTGGATGTGGCGAGGATTAGTAATTTGTTGGTCTCGGAAATCAAAACCGCACTGAGCCAATCAGGGTTTTCTTCCCAAAAAAATTCACTTGGTCTACGCATGTAAAGGCGGGAGTGGTGGAGTACGTGTATTGCTATAAACTTAGCCTTCCATCATTTCTTCTTTTCTGAGGAACTGGCAATTTGCTGCCGATATGGTAAGAAGGAGTAAACAAATACAAAGAGTAGACAAATACAAAGTCTAGGTCTTACAAAGGTTGGGGTTAAAGTGACCCACGCCAAGCTAAGCTAAAAAGACCTAGTAAAGCTCTGCTTCTCGCTCGTTTTGGACGTCGGCAACCCAGCGGATGGAGACCGTCCGTTGCAAGATATTGTTTAGAGCAACTCTAGCCAATCCCCTGAAAAGTAAAGAAGTATCTGACCGAGTAAAGCTTAATGGAGTATTTTTACTCTACTAAATTCTGATAGGACCTACCCGATTTTCTAAATATAACAGAGTATAATATTTTTTTTAACTTATATAATTCTAGTTTACATTGTAACTACATATTAGCACATATGAAACATATGAAAACTAAACATAATAATGAAGACAAATTGATTGTGGTGGTCTGATCGCTCTTCTTCTCTGTTGGTGCCGTCTTCTGGTGTGGTTTGATAATGCCGGAGTTTTCAATCTGTGATCATGGTGGTTATTATTATGGTGAAGCGATCCAGGTGTGGACTTGGCTCCTTGACGCCCTTCGGCTTCGCGGCGGTGCCGCTGTTGTGATATAGCCTCGGCTTCGTGTGTGTCTTTGTCAGGGTGTGGACTTGGTTGCTCCTTGCCCTTTAATTGCGCAATAGCCTTGAGGCATCGTGGTCTCGGATGATTGGAGCTCTTCGTCTAGGATGGTAGTTTTCCTCGTGCAACCTCTCTCGTGACTTCGTGAGGATGATGGAAGATGATGGCACTCATGTTCTTTTTTCTTTTCAGCACTTGCCTTGTTGTTGCCCCGACCCAACTTATCTTTTTCTCTTTTGTGTATTATGTGGCGTGATCTATTTCTTTTCACCCTTGTTTTCCCATGTAATTTCCCGTCTCTATCAATTCCTCTTATGCATGAATGAAAACTGAAAAGTAGTGCTGCTGCATTTCATAGAGAAAACACACACATTTCATTATGGCACATATGAGCCTCATACGGAGGATGAAAAGTTGAAGAAATGGTAAAAAAGCAAAAAATAAGGTAAAAGTAAAAAAAAACTAGAATACATATTTAACACAAGAAAGAAAGAGGATTCCTTTCTTTTGGCCTTTTTTGTCTCAAGGTTTTTCGCTAATCTTGTGTTTCATGTTACTTTGTGAGGCGAGGAGGTACTTGTGCCATGCCCGTCTTGGTAGTACATTTTTTAGAAAAGGAGGATCACCCCGAGTCTCTACATCATTGTTATGCACACAACTTTATTAAATTTAAAGTACGAAGTTCATGTATTGAAGTACAAGTGCGGATAACATGAAAATATGAACATATGCCTACACACACAGCCTAATATTTGAACCGTCGTACAAATAGGTTGTACTTGTCCTATGCTGCCATCTCCTCTTAGTTGCACCCATAGTCCATGAGCTGCCCGACTTCCTCATGGTGTAGTAAGGATCACGTACGTATTCATATTGGTACTACCTGTCGAAGATTCAACTAAAACTTCCATTCAGAAAATGGCCATCTAGGATAATCTTCATCAATCGCTCCTTGAGATGAGGGCATTGGCACTCCAACTCATTTCGAGCCTGCCCATCTTTGGATGTGTTTACTTGCTTTAGAAGCCTGCATAATTTCAACAAGTCAAGGTTTTGATGACTGATTGACTCTAAAACGGAGGGCCGGGCAAAGAAATGACCTCCTCGTCCCAATCGCATCGCACGGTAATATACGCAAGAATTATTGTCTGAACTGCAGTGCCACCGATCATCCCTGCCCAAATCCCCTACAAAGAAAGATGATCTAGTAGTAAGTATGGACACATGTATCTCCACAAGTACTAATTAACAAATAATATCAAGAATGGCTTGTATGGAACGTACAAGAACTCCCAGATTGAAGAGCCAACTGAGCAGAAGTCCAACAGGAACTCCAATGATGTAATAGCTTCCAACGTTTATATAAGCCGCTAGTGCTTGCCACCCTGATCCGACAGCAACTCCTGCAAATTGTATCACACGCACGCACATACAGAGCATCTAATTAATCTTCAGTTCTGCATTTCATTTCTTATTCCGATCTGATTCATCGCAAGTTCACAATCACCAACAGAGTACCTGAAAGTACAGGTTGGACGCCATTTAGGAGGATGCTGATGGCTAGCAGAACGGAGAGGTTGTCCACCGCGTCGATCACAGCTTTGCTTGATGAAACGACGAGTGCGATCTTGTCGTGGAAGGCAAGTGCAAGCAAGCTAAAGAAGAGGCCGATCAGAAAGGAGTTCGTCGTCGACACGATCGTCGCGAACCGCGCTCCTTTTCCGTTGCCCGCGCCAAGCTCATTAGAAACTCTCACCCTTTGAATCCACAATGAAAATTTTTCAGCCATCTGATGGTAAATTGGCAACTGAAGTGCGGAGTATACATAATGTGCAGTTAGGGAGTAGATAGGTGAAAGTCAGTTAATGTTATGTATTTACCCAGTGCCTGCTAAGAAGGCCATAGGAATCATCATCTCCCATCCCTGAAAACTCATGCTGGATACAGATGTAGCAGTAATTAGCAACCGGTAGTGACATGAGAAAATGCCTGTAAACCTGTGTAGAGATCATAGGTGAGTAGGCAGGACAGAGAGAGGTAGAAGATGTAGTACCAGATAGAAAGGGCATCCACAGCAAGCTGAGAATTCTTCAGGTGTCCTGTGAGCAGAAGCAGTACTTTGTAGTATGAATTCTCCAAGCTGCACGCGAGATGCCGCAAATAGGACGAGATGCATGAGGGGCCTTGCAATGCACCAGCATTTTTAGCTAGGATAGGAGTATTCTCATAGTACATACCATACCATGACACCAGATGATAGGGACAGCTTGATAAACCCGCAGAGGTCAGCGAACGCCAATGGCGAGAACCCTGTCCACGTCAAGGGGCACCCGCCGCCGAGGACGTAGGCGAGCTGCACCACCAAGCTGAGCCCCCAGGAGACGTTGAGAGCCATGGCGGCGCCGAGCACCCCGAACCGGAACCGGACCACCAGCAGCCAGGTGGCGGCGACGTGCACGGGGAAGGACGCCAGCGCCGTGGCCGCCATGACCCAGTTCTTGCCCTGGCTCTGCAGGAACTTGTTGATGGGCAGGAGGAGGGCGAACCCGAAGTGCATCGGGAGCATGCACACGCCGAGCTGGGCCGCCAGGCGCGCCACCTCGGCCGGCTGGCCCATCGCGGCCAGCAGCGGCGCCGCGAAGACGTACATCGGGACGAGGAGCACGGCGGAGAGCAGGAGCACGATCCATGAGCGCTGCAGGTAGATGCCGAGCATGGCGTACTGCTTGGCGCCGAAGGCCTGGCCGGCCAGCGTTTCCAGAGCACTCGCCATTCCGAGCTGCCGAGAATTGATGAACGAGAACGAGTCAGTCGATTTGTCCGCAAAGAGAATGATGGTGAGATGAGCATGAGCATGATCGTGGCACGTTCACGCACGCACGCACACAGAATAAGAGTTTTGGCGAGCAAAGGTTTGACTGGATCCTCTCCCAATGCTGACACCCATCAAGGCAAACTGGATCTCAAGACGCCCCTCACTCTCTTCCACCTCTGACTTCTCTCTATCCTCCCGGCGAGCATCGGGGAGGGTTCCGCAATGGGGAGCGTACCCAGGCGGTATAAGATTATGTTTTCTGCGGGGAGGGGATTAAACGAACCGAACGAGCTATAAGAGGGGATTATCACACGTAACAAAAAATAATTTGTGAGTTATGCTTTCCAACGTAGAAAATCAAACCGTGGGAACAACCTTCTCTTCTTCCTTTTACCGCAAAACTAAGTTCTAGCCTTGTAAGCCATATGAACCAATATGTACTTCCATCTCAAGTTCTGAACCCACAACTTGCTAAAAACTTGCATTTAGCATGCATGCTATCTAATGGTAGTGACCCACATCCAAAACATCATAATTAGTAATTGCAAGTCAGATGTAATCTGATAGTAAGAAACATCTCAACCAAATTTGTGACATGCAACATACCAGCAAGCCGAACGTAAGTCCGGAGACGACGGTGCTGGCGATGGAGAAGGCGGCGAGCTCGAGGTCGCCGATGCGGCCAGCGAAGGCCTGGCTGACGATGTCAAAGCTGTAGAGCACCAGCCGCATGAACATGGCAGGGCCGACGATCCCCCACAGCTTCTTGGACTCCTCCGCCGCTTCCCTCGCCAATGCTCGCTTCTTCCCCGGCCTGTACGCCAGCAGTGGAACGCTCTCCATGGCAAACTGATTAGTTCTGTCAGTGCAGACAGCAGTGCGCGGTGCGGACAGGGAAGGTTGAGCAATCTGTATGTAGTATTCGGTTGTGCTAATTCTCAGTCGACTAAGAATTAGCAATGTCTCAGTCGACGAGATATGTTATATAATTTGATCGATCTGTGATTTGTCGATGTATTCCTCTCGTCCAAAATGGGCTTTGTCCCTGCGGGCAGATGGGCAGAGCGTGCCTTCTATGGGCTTTGCAATTGTATCTGGCCGTGGGCTGTGGCTTGAGGTACTTTCCAATTTCTCCTTTTTGTTTTTTATTTTCTCATATGTCTCCCATATGAACAATTTGTATTTTCTTTGTTTTTTATTAGGATTGTGTGTACAGTAGGAAGCTTACTGGAGCAGCTCACTCGGTGTACACACGTACTATTTTCCTTTTTATATTTTCTTTTTTCCTTTTGTATTATAGTGTATTTATTTTTTATTTTAGTTTTATAAAACTGTTTTCACTTATATTTCTATTTTTTATGTTTTTTACTTTCTTATTTTTAGAAAAATGGATGATCTAATTTTTATTAGAATAGATATTTTGACACACATTTTTAAAAAAGATTATCTTTGATACTAAATCTTAATCGGCCGAGACTTTGTGAAGTCTGAGTCGATGTATAACAAGAATCGCGTTGGAGAATGGGTCTTCTCGTTTCTGCTTGTTAAAGCGCGTGATTAACTCGTTTTTTTCTTCCATTTCTTTCGGGTTGGGCTCTTTTATTTTGTTTTTTAAATTCTTTTTTTCCTCCATACACTTTTTTTAGTTTGTTTGGTTCATATTGTTTGACATGGTATTTTTCAAAATATAGGTCTTTCAGATTAAACTTCTTTTGTCAGTGTTACTTTTGGTATTTTTTTCCCATATGTCTTATCACCTTTCTTGTTTTTAATAATATTTTTAGACTTTTTCTTGTGAACAATAATATCCATTTTGTTTTCAATATTTGTTAAATAACAACTTCTATTTTTGGAATTTGAAAATATTTGCTATCTGGCTGCACAATTGTCCCCGACTACAACTACATCTCTTCAACACGATTGGAACTTACTGAAGTCTTGTCGGGAGGGAGGGGGAGACATTTGCATATTTGCAACCATCATGCAACTGCAAGTGTCATCCCCGACTGCAACTGCATGTCTTTAACGCGATCACAACTTGGTGTTGTTTTGTCAAGGAAGGGGCAATTGCATGTCTGCCACCAACATGCAACTGCAAATGTCGTCCCCGGCTGCAATTGCATGTCTTCAATGCAACCGCAACTTGTTGTTGCATTGTCAAGAGAGGGGCAATTGCATGTCTGCCACCAACACGCAATTGTGAGTGTCGCCCCGACTGCAATTGCATGTCTTTAACGCAACTGCAACTTGGTGTTGTTTTGTTGGTGTAGGGGCGGTTGCATGTCTGCCACCAATACGCAACTGCAAATGTCACCCCCAACTACAATTGCATGTCTTCAATGCAAGTACAACTTGATGTTGTTTTGTCCGGGGAGGGTTTGTTGCATGTCTGCCACCACTAAGCAACTACAAGTGTCTCCCCCTACTGCAATTGCATGTCTTCAATGCAACTGCAACTTGCTGTTGTTTTGTCAGTGGAGGGGCAGTTGCATGTCTGGCACCAACACACAACTGCAAGTGTCGCATCCGACTGCATTACATGTGTCCAACGTAACGACAACTTGTTGTTGTTTTGTCGAGGGAGGGGCAGTTGCGTGTCTATCACCAACACGCAACTGCAAGTGTCGCCCCGACTGCAACTGCATATCTTCAATGAACTGAAACTTGGTGTTGTTTTGTCAGTGGAGGGACAGTTGCATGTCTGACACCAACACGCAACTACGAGCGTCGCCCCGACTAAAATTGCATGTCTTCAACATAACTACAACTTGGTGTTGTTTTGTTGGGGGAGGGGCAGTTGCATGTTCGCCACAAACACGCAAATATAACTTGGTTGCAACTCGACTTTCATTTTTGTTGCACGGGGAGAGGCGCCAGTTTGCATGTCCCACAATAGCACGCAACTGCATGTCTTCTAACTTGGTCATAACTAGGGAACCTTTGTTTTTGTCGGAGGGGGCGGCGTTGAGAGAGATAGGGCTCAGTTGCATGTCCCACACTAGGCATGCAACTGCATGTCTTCTAACTTGGTCGCAACTACATGTCTTTTATAACTTGGTTGCAAACCGACTTTCATATTTGTTGTACGGAGAGAGGCGCCAGTTTGCATCTCCCACAATGGGCACGCAAATGCAAGTCTTCTAGCTTTGTCGCAAATGCATGTCTTATAACTTGGTTGCAACTCGACTTCTTTTTTGTTGTACGGGGAGAGGGGCCCAGTTGCATGTCCCACACCAGGCACGTAATTGCATGTCTTCCAGCATGGTCGCAATTGCATGTGTTATAACTTGCTCGCAACTCAACTTTTCTTTTTTTTGTACGGAGAGAGGGGCCAGTTTTGGAGGGGGCGGCGTCGCGAAAGATGGGTGAACTTTGTTTTTGTACGGAGTGGGTGGCATCGAGAGAGATGGGTCCAATTGCATGTCCCACAAAAGGCACGCAACTACATGTTTTCTAACTTGGTCGCAACTGGGGAGACCTTTTGTTTTGTCCGAGGGGGCGGCGACGAGAGAAGAGGGGGGCCAGTTGCATGCCCCACACTATGCACGCTACCACATGTGTTTTAACTTGGTCGTAACTACATGTCTTACAACTTGGTCACAACTCGACTTCCTTTTTTTTGTATGGGGAGAGGCACCAGTTTGCATGACCCTCAACGGGGGGCACGCAATTGCATGTTTTTAAGCACGGTCGCAATCGCATGTGTTATAACTTGCTTGCACTCGACTTCTCATTTTTTGTTGTACAGAGAGAGGGGCCAATTGCATGTCCCACACTAGAACACGCAACCGCATGTCTTCTAACTTGGTCGCAACTGGGTGGTCCAGTTGCATGTCTACTACTAGGCACGTAACTACAAGTGTCTCCCTCAATTGCAACGCAACTCAGTTGTGTTTTCTCTCGATGATGGGGCAGTCGAATGTCTATTGATAGGCACGCAAGTGCAAGTGCCACTCTCGACTGCAACTGCATGTCTTCAACACGACCAGAACTATGTGTTGTTTGGGGGGGAGGGAGGTGGGGTGCTTAGGCTGCTTGTATGTGGGTTTATTATTTACTTTTTCATTTATTTGTACTTTTGTTTTTTGTTTGTTTTTGGATTTGTCTTTTTCCCTTTTCTTTTCATAATAGTGATTTTTGGAATTTTTATGAATAACACTACTCAATTTTCACGGACGTCGATCGTGCACAATTGCATGTACTCCGGCCATGCCTGTGCACTTCATTTTTTTATGTGCTCAAAGTAATACAAACACACTATGTTTTTTATGCATTATATTTCATGGAGACACACTCCCGTGCACATTGGATGGGATCGTTGACATGGACACTGGTATCCCAAATACTCCCTCCGTTCGGAAATACTTGTCATCAAAAGAATAAAAGAGGATGTATCTAGATGTATTTTAGTTTTAGATACATTTATTTTTGTCTATTTTGATGACAAATATTTTCGGTCGGAGAGAGTACAAGTAAAAAAACCAACTACTAAGTAGGAGACAAGGAAACAAAAAAATATAACAAAAACTGCCCACGTACAGCAAGAAAAAAGGGCAGCCAAGCACGAGATCTTTGGCATGTACAGCAGCCACTGAAAAAGATAGATAAACAAATACTCCAAGCCTCGTACATGATAAACTAGGCCAAGCTAGCCCAAGCGAACGAGTATAAACTAGCCCATGCCAGCCCAAGCGAACGAGTAGGGAAATCGATCAGGCCGACGGCAGAGTTAATTTGCAGGCTCGCTCCACGGCTCCAGCACGTCGTGTATTAAGTTATTCGGGCGTGATTCCACACAGCATTACAGCATGTAATTTAGTGATCGACTTTGCACATGCTCTGCATCTAGAGAATTGCATCTGTTGACGCTCTGCATCGAGAGAATTGCATATGTTGGCTCTATTTTATTTTTCTTGCTTAGGAAATTGCAACTGTTGGGTGGGCTGGCGACGGCGATTCTAGTACCAGGCGGTTTCCTATTTCTTTTCAACTGATTTTCTTTTTGCTGGTGCTTTTCAACGCATTTTCTTTTTACTCGGTACCTTCATAACCTGCCCAAATGTCGGGTGGATATGGAGAGATCCGGGCGCGCCCGGAGCGTCCGCCACATCAACCAGGCCCACCACTGGCCGACAATGACGGCACTTCGTCCCCATAAAACCCCATCCGGAGCAAACTCTACCCTTAGTTCACATCGCTCCGGTCTCCATCTCTTCTCCTCCATTTCTCCAATTGCCACATCCCGATCTACGTCCACCATGTTCAATACTAGCAGCCTCTCCGACAGATCTGGCCACGAGGACGGGCTGACCCTCCGCATCGCATTGTAGCGGTCGCGGATGGACATGGGCGACGACTCTGAATCTGCTCTGTTGCATGTCACCCACCACTGCGGCGTCGACACCGGAGCTGGCTCTTCCCGCCCCCGCGCGCAGCTCCGCGCCGTCCACCTGTCAACCTCCTCCCCATCCGACCACTGCTCCTCAACGGCAATTGTGGGTTTTAGTGCCCCCTTCGCGGGCGCCGCGAACATGCACGCTCGAATCTGAAGCGTGCACCACCTGCCGCAATAGGCAGCGGGCTAGGTGTCGTGGTTCTAAGTCTGACAGTAGAGTGGGGGGTAGGTATAGAGAGGCAAGGTCCTAGCTATGGAGAGGTTGTAAACACAAGAGATGTACGAGTTCAGGCCCTTCTCGGAGGAAATAAAAGCCCTACGTCTCGGAGCCCGGAGGCGGTCGAGTGGATTGTGTGTATATGAGTTACAGGGTGCCGAACCCTTCTGCCTGTGGAGGGGGGTGGCTTATATAGAGTGCGCCAGGACCCCAGCCAGCCCACGTAATGAA